TTCTTCTTCTCTCTCTCTCTCCTCCTCTCTCTCTCTCTCTCCCCCTCCCTCCCCCCTTTCTCTTTCTTTCTATCGCGTAATCTCCCTGCTAGTCTCTCGCTCCCCCTTTCTTCCTTCTCTCTTCTTCTTCTGTACTTTACACACTACCTGCTTACTTCCCGCGACCCTTCCTTTGCGACGATCGCGGAACGGGACGGGCGGGACGCGAACGGGGCTAATTTCCGGTCGCGAATCGACTTCCTGTCGGACGTCGTCACGTCGACATCGAGGCGCGCGAGCCCGCGTTTCTCGCGAGCGACCCTTCGATAGTTGCACGTATCGCTCGCTGAGAGACCTCTATCCAAGGGAGGGTTGCCTTATCACACTTGTGTGCGACCGCAGTTGCGCGAACGAACCGAACTTCACTTCTCCACCTTCTCGTCGTAGTAATATATAGGGTGACCAACAAATTGCGCGTGCGCGCTTTGAGTTGTTTGTTAAGAGTTACGGCGAGAGAAATAATAATAATTTTGATGTTAAAGCATCGCTTACTTTCTTGAAGATTAAAAGTTTTTTTGAACATTAAACTTTCAAGTTATAGAGTGCATATAATACATAAAAAATCTCTTTCTTTTCATTTAATTTTTTTACATAAACTATATTTTCAAAGAATAAAGATCTAAAAGTCTAAAGATTTTTTAACGAAATATTTAATGTTATAAATAATTGTTAAAATAATTAGCTTCTATCAATATTGAATAAAGATCGACCAAAAGGTATGGCATTTCTGGGACACTATGTGTATATTTGGCGTGTATAAACTCCAGTTTCGTATATGTGACGAACGATATTGGAAAAAGGGGATGTTGAAAGACGTTTCAAAGCGCGGCAGTTTTTCGTTCAGGGAGTCGCTCCAATTTTGGGCGATCGTTGTCAATTTCGCTATGTACACATCGATTATAATCGTCGTCTCGCGATCGCTCGATGACAGATGGTCTCTGACGAATATTGCACATTCGCGCGAACTTAATAAATAATAGGATTGCGGAGTATATTTTGACCAATGAGCAAACAGGACGAGACTTACGTCGTGGAAAATACCATATTGATCGCCAAGTGGACCAATCTAGCGCGAACTTTAATCGCAATCACGTGGTGCTGTATTTGAACCGAATCCCGCTAAAGAAATACAAAAATTGAGGGGAATAAGAAAGAAAAAAGTCAAAAATTTCTATTTTTCGAGACCAAAGATTAGCTTCAAGAGAGATTTTCTACTCCATGTTGTCTTGCGCAGATCTGTATTTTTATTCTGATGGCGGCGGCGACACAAAAGTCAAATAAAAAAAGAATTTATTTTTTTTCGAGTTGCGTCGCGTTATTGTGCAATTTCATTGTATAACATAGAAATCTAAGGAGAATTAGCGAAGAAATAACTCTACGTAGCAAGTGCATAATTTTCAAAATTTCTCGCGTTTACAGAAAATAAATTGTACGGTGGAGAACGCAGACTCTGGCATACGCGATGCTGTACTTACCGCGGTCGTTTGTATAATTCCACATAAGATTCTCGCCGATAAATCATCTTCCGGAAACCGTGTTCCGCGATATTTCTGATGAAAACTTTTGATGGCCGCAGCGCGCCATCAGGCCGGTCGCACCATTCCTTCAACATTACCAAAGTTTCGTACATCAAGCACGTCACATGCCTGCATATGGGATTGTGTCGGGAACTTTTTTCCTTCCTTCGATGAAACGCCAACACGGGCGAACTTGGAACGAGTAGTCAAAATATTATGGAGAAACTTGCATGACACAATACCCATATCTCTAAAAGTAAAATTCGTCAAAATGGATAGGCATCGAAATAACGTTCTCCAACCAGAACTTTAAATGAATAACGTGTACGTATCTATTTATATCTCGAAGAGAGGAGAGAAGAAGGAATTGATCTTTTTTGGTATCATTATAATTGATTGTTGTTTACTTTATCCACAATGCGTAATTAATGCGCTTCATTAAATAATAATTAGAAATTTATTGCATGTACAGTTATAAATATGTAATGTAAGAGAAAAGATTCATTGTTGATCGGAATACGATGTTTTAAAGTAATGATTTGATACAAGTCTGTGATGAGCTATATTTGGCTGTAATGCAATTCTATCACTACTACTATTACTACTACTACTACTACTACTACTACTACTACTACTACTACTACTACTACTGTGCGCCTGACTATACACATATAACAACTACTGCCGGTGTTTACTACTGCGCGTCAGACAACATCTGATACATAAAATTGACATGTACTACTTACTACTTGCGTGATAAGACGACAGAGGCATATGAAATATATTTTTATACGAAAAATGATAATTAATTACAAAATAATAGCTCATAAGTAAAATTCTTTACAATAGAACAGAAAAGCATATATTGAATATAACTAAAATAAATTGCATGAAAATTGGAATATACATTTTGTATTTTTATATTGCCACTTTTTCTCTCTTTAATTTATATATTCAGTTATTAATTTATCTGTCGAATAAATGTTCAAATATTCCTTCTAACGTTGCATTTATATAGAAAATTAAAATTAAAAGATTATAGAAAATACATCTAATTAGATTTTCGTATCACGCGAATCGATTTAAGATAATTTAAGAAGATTTAAGAGGATACAATATAGATTTGCATGCCATAATATAGAGAATAATAACGCACAACATGTACATAACAATTTTTTTATCTTACTAATTTATATATTGTACAGAATTCGCAAAACACATCTAATAATTATCGATCAAATATTTTACGCGTTAGTGTTAATTAATAATATTAATTAATAATTTTTTTAGAAAATATTTTAATTAAAAATTTTCATTTTTAATAATATCTATAAAAAAAACTTATTAAATTATATTGTACATATAGAATTATTAAAAATTTGGCACATAATAATATACATATTAAATTGCATGTAACAATAATAAAGTAAAATACATACTAATAATATAAATATAATACATAGATACCTAAAAAACGAAAGTTTTGAGATTTGGTTTTTCTTATAATTGATTCTTTCTGTATAGAGCGAATACTTACTTAATCACACCAACTTTCACGCTTAAAATAGGATTTTGAAAGTCTACATCAAAAACAAGAAATTTTTAATCCCAAAGCTTTCGCCAAATATTATTAATCTAATGTCTATATATACAATACGCTTCATGAAATGTAACTTCATTAATTTCACATACTTATAAGATAAACTTTATTCCATTAACTCTAAATGTATATGCAGTCTATAAAACGCATACCGTATGGTAGGTTGTACTTAGAATCTATTAAATTACATCTGAATTTAAAGATGATGTAATAAAATATTTATGAAAATAACTTAAAATCTAATTATTTTCGAGATATATAATAACTTATTAAATTCATTGTTTCTGTAAATTTATGTTAAACATAAATTTAAATAAATTTACGCTTTTATATTTACAATTCTATATGATAATATTTTGAAAATAAAAAATGATAATAAGAAGTTAAAAA